CAATGTAGAAAAACAATTGAGGTAAAAATATAGCATCTTCATCCGCTTGTGGAAGGATAGGAAAGATTGAATCAGCCTGGCCTCCAGTGGGAGGGAGTTCCAGAGTCTGGGAGCAGCCACAGAGAAGGTCCTGTCCCCACCAAACGCAACTCGGAGAGTGGCAGGACCGAGAGAAAGGCTTCCCCTAATGGTTTTGCTGGTGCCCACATGCTTTTTTTCATGGCTTGGTAAGCAGGATGAAGAGAGACTTTTTAAAAAGAATCTCAGAATCTAGAGTTTAGGGACAGTTAAACTTCTGTGGAGACTTCCCACTTAAATTCCAATGTATAGTTTCAGACTTGAAGTAGCAACCTTGCCATGGAATATTTCTTCCAAAATGTTCTGTTTCCACAAAGAAAGCCTCTGAACTTGTGTAGTGTTTTTTCTAGCCCTTGCAAGAGAGCGTTCAAGGCCCTTGATTAACCGGAGAGAGGATTTACTGGATAATCAGAAGAAGGGAACCAGAGCATAGAAGGTTTCTAGATGGGTCCAAACACAAAGAAGAAGGCGTTTTGCAAAATAACAATTTGTGCCGTTGTTTGTACAAAACAGCTGGAGGAGGGAACTGACACTATTAGTAAGTGTTCTCTAAGGTAATAGTGTTCACCTGCTAGGAGAGGTGAGACAATACAAGGGATTCTGAAAAGAAGACAGGATTTCGCAACCTCCACAATCATAATTGAAGGAAGGCACTGTGTGGAGGGAGGACAGTGAGAAGAAGCGGCGCTTTGATAATAATAAAAAACTGACAACAACGGTAAAGCAGGAAGTGACGCTAATTAAAGGTGAAATCTTAGTCATAACTGCAAGGAGAAGAGAAGAGAAAATGACCAGCTGATGACTTGATTTTTAAAGCCGGGGTGGGGGTGTGTGAGGGGGCTTGTGGATAAGGGAGAATGAAAAAGTAGCCTGTGAGACTGGAAGAATAAATAGAAGTGATTAGAAGCAAATGAGTCTAAGCTAGGCCTTCAACACAGATCGAGAACTGTGTTGGAAAAATAGGATTGTCAGATGAAAGAGCCTTTCGTTGGAAAAGATGAGAAATTTTAATGCAACAGGGATTCAGATTTTTGTCCCCTGAATGAGCTCATGGCAGTGGGAGGGAATGGGCAAAGCTGGAAAAGAGTACAGGAAGGACAGTCGGAGAAACAGAGAACCCGTCCCAAGGTTCTCGTGAGGAAGATTGGAAGCTAGCTTTCCCTGTTGAACTGTTGGTTCATCATCTTAGAACTGGAGAGCTGGAAGGGACCCTATAGTTCATCGAGTCCATTACCTTACAAGGAGACTGGACTCGATGGGGGAATTAACCTCCCAACCTCTGGCTCGCCAGTCAGTAAGCTAAATCACTGAGCTATCCAGCAGTTCTAACCCAGTAGTATCCACAGCCTATGTGTTTCACTTGGGGGGGGGGGAGATGGTATCCTGTTGTGCAGCTGCAAGGGGAATGACACCATCATCTGTGGCAGGTGGTCATGGATGAACGAGTTCCTGTTTCGATTTCAGAGTGTGAACAGCTCACATGCAAATCTCCTTGCATGTGAATTGTTCATACCCTGAAATTTTTAAAAAAGGAAAGTTGTGTTGTTGGGTATGTTTGGAGGGGGGTAGTATTTGATGGGACCATTGTGTGTACTTGAGCATTCATTCATTCATTCATTCATTCATTCATTCATTCATTCAGTCATTCATTCATTCATTCATAACATTTTAACCCCACCTTTGTGTATATCACATAATTTAGGGATTTAGCAATGCGTAATGGATACATTACTCATAAAGAGATGCATGTTAATTCACCAGGATGAGTAGCTCTTTTGCATCAAGGCCTTCAAGTCCAGTATTTCAAATTAAGATGTGGTAAGTCAACTGAGAAATGTAACGTAGTGGAAAGAGATAATAGATAAAAAGAGACAGAGATAAAGAACCGTTGTTACAGCCTTGTGAAATAATATCAGTTTGAAAGAGGAAGATGAATTCTTACAAGTTTCTTTGAGACTTGGGGAGAAGGCACAAGAGGCAGGATTTAGGGAAAGATCCAGATATCAGTTTGACCATGTTTTCCTCTAAACATGACTCAGTCAGTCCAAGTTAGTCTGCTGGAGGAATGTAACCCACATAGGGTTAAATAAAATTTGTCAGACGCTTTTAGCTGTTCCAGACGTTGCAAAAAGTAGGCTGATTTATTATATGCAATGAAATTGTCTTTGCATTCAGGTTTATTGACAGAAGTTGCATGTATCATTTTTCAAATAGCTGGTTAACACTAAAATTTGATGTATCAACTTTTCCTTTCAAATCACTGGGAAGACAACTTTAAAGGGCCCTTAAAATATTGTTGCAAAACCTCTCATCTGACACCCCTGCTCCCAAAGAAAATGAGAGGGAGGGAAAGGTGGAGAGGGAGAGGAAATTATGATGAATTTTTTAATTGTATAAACTTGATATGGCCGTTCTTCAAGAAGTCAATGTTGCATCTTGCAACATTGATTAAAAGCAGTTTGAAATGATAAAATCAAATTGCAGGCAATAATAAGACTGGAGTGACGGCATTTAACAAGAAAAATAAACAAGCATCTTGTAGATACAATGGGACAGCAAAACATGGGAGGTGGGAGAGCAGGAAAGAGCAGAAATTACAGGCAGAACATTTGCTGAAAACTCCTTTATATATATATAAAAAGGCAGGTTCTACTTTGGCATCTATACATGTTGACATCAAATGGGTTTGCCATGAGAAGGTTTTCCACAAGGTTGTTGCCTCAACTCCACAGGCCCTAGTGCTTTGGAACACACAGCTTAATTCTGTCAGTCAAGGAATCTGAAATGGAGACTCCAGTCCTGATCAAAGCATAGTTATAGTTTCATTTGCTGATTGCTGAAAAGGTGCATCATTACCTTGCATCTGGATCTTTTTGGAGCAGATAAAGAGGCCAGAGGCCCCCAATGTCTTCTTCATATGAGTTGCCTAACCTCAGTTCCACATCGACCAAAGGAAAAATCAGTTCCCTTGAAAGAAAACAAAATTTTCAATAAACTCTTCTACTTTTCTACTTGCACTTTTGGGGAGTCATTCCTGCTGTTGTTTCAGCAAATGAATATACAGACAGGGCAAGATCCATTTGTTGGTAGCATAAACTAGACCAACACGCATCTTGAATTAATATGTTCCATTCCTTCAGTGGGCCCCTCCAGTTGGCACTTATGATTGGATTTAGCCCAGGGGTCAATGAAAACTTCCCTCTATGTGGACTGCTGAAATCTGTTTCATCCACAAGCAAATTATTTCTATTGCCAGCTTTCTTGTTGTTGTTGTTGTTGTTGTCGTTGTCGTTGTCGTTGTTGTTCTTCTTCATCATCATCAAAAAATACCAGGCACAGTGAATGAAAATTATAAAACCATTCACTAGTATTTTATAGTAGATACAAGTTTTAACAAAAAACCTAAGTATCGGTTAAATATCAACATAGTATATATTGTATGCTCTTCCTAATATTGTCCTTTTTGTAGCTCTGATGGTGTTATTTCTGGAATCTGTAACTGCTTGTAATACTGTGTGACATTTCTTGATATTGTTGCCAAAGCCCCAGTGACTATGGGGACCATCAAAGTGTTTTTTCATCCACAAGCGAGATGTTTCGATTGCCAAGTCTCTGCACTTCGTTAGTTTTTCCAGTTCTTTATTTTCAACTCTGGCATCTCCTGGAATTGCAATGTCAATTATCCAGACATTTCTTCATTTTATTACTACTATATCTGGTGTGTTATGTTAGAAGTATCTGTCAGTTTGGATCTGGCAATCCCACAAGATCTTGACTTTGTCATTTTCTGACATCTTCTCTACCTGATTTTCCCACAGGTTTTTGGAGGCTGGCAAGTTATATTTTTTGCATCATGGTCAGTGCAGTAATATTGCCATTCTATCATGTCTCATTTTGTAATCTGTGTGTGTAGTCCTTGGACATTCACAGATGAGGTGTGACACAGTTTTGTCTTTTTCTTGGCAGAGTTGACATTTACTGTTAGCACTTATTCCTTGGATCCTAACATTCTTCCCATTGGTTTGGGGTGCTTGTTCTTGTGCAGCAAAAATCAAGCATTTGGTTTATTCTTAATGGTCCCCAGTTTTAGCCATGCCCATGTTGCACGTTATTATTGTTGCTGTTGCAAAGTCAAGACTGCAAGCCTTTGATGTCCAGAATAGCATTCTCTCCCCCCCCCATAAGTAGCAGAAAAAGCATAAAATATGCAAATTAGTAAAAACAGAAACATAAATGATGCAAAGTAAGAGAAGCCTGTCTCCCCATTCCAGGATCATCAAAAAGATGACTTCACAGAGACTTTGCAGAAGAGACATTGATTTACATTTCATTGATCCATTGGTTTCCCAAACCTAGACATTCACACAGCTGGGAAAAAGACTTTAACTGGCTGACAGATGTTTTCCTCTGCTGCCCTATTTTAACACTGTGAATAACACCTTCCATTTGGTGCCCAGAGTATTTTCATTAATACATTAAGGATTAGACTCTAATGCACTTTTTAACAACTGCCCGACTTGTAAAATTAAGTTTTGTTTTGGTCTTCAGTGCAATTGGAGTCCATCATGTATTATTATTATAATAATAATAGTAATGGTGTGTCATCAAGTCAATTCTGATTTATGATGACCCTTTTCAGGGTTTTCCAGGTAGTGAATAGTCAGAAGTGGTTTACCGTTCCTTTCAGCCGTGAGTGTCCTGGGACTGTGCAGCTTGCCCAAGGCCACCCAGGCTGGATCGACTCCACAGGAAGCACCTTGTGGAATCAAACTCTCAACCTTTGTCTCCACAGCCAGAGATCTAAACCACTGAGTTATCCAGCCAGCATGTATTAAAATATGATACTCGATTACTCTTGCATGGTTTCTAGCCCTCATAACACTTCCTTTCCTGGTTGTCTCTCTTTTGACCCTTTTTTCCAGCTGTCTTCTGCCTTGTTGTTTGACGCTGTCTATGCCGTGGTGAGTGCAGTGCAAGAGCTGAACCGGAGTCAGGAGATTGGCGTGAAGCCCCTATCCTGTGGTTCCCCCCAGATCTGGCAGCATGGTACCAGCCTGATGAACTATCTAAGAATGGTGAGAAAGGATTCGATATGGGTGGTTTCGCTGGCTAGGGGATTCTTGGAGCTGTAATCCAAACCCATCATGTCTCTAGGCTCTATGCATCCTACTTCATGTTTGCTGTTTGAAATGAGAAATCTGCTTACGATAAAGCAGGTTTTCTATAATCATACAATTACAGTGTTGAAAGAGTCGTCGGAGACTCTGTAGACCAGTGGTTCCCAACCTTTGGGTTTCCAGAAGTTCCTGGACTAAAACTCCCAGAAGCTTTCCCCACTAGCTGTATTGGCCAGGGTTTCTGGGAGTTATAGTCCAAGAACATCTGGGGACTCAAGGTTGGGAACCACTGCTCTAAGCAAACGCTTACTCAGTTTAGGAACTAAGCCCTCTTTCTGGATGGTTGTCCACTCAAGGTTGGGAACCACTGCTCTAAGCAGACCCTTACTCTGTTTAGGAATCATGCAACTAAGCCCTTTTTCTGGATGGTTGTCTAGACTATGTTTGAATGGCTTCAGTGAAAGGCAGGCTGCCCCATTGTCAAACAGCTCAAGGGGACCTTGGCTGGAGAAAATGCCTAATGTTCGGCCAAAACCTTGCAATTTCTACCCATAAGTTCTATCCAGCAATGGCTTGACTTCATATCTCCTTGCCTTGCTTACCATCACCTCTCCATAGCTCTGGTGTCCATCTCTGATGTCCATCTCTGGCATCTTTCTCCTACTTACTTCTTTTCCTTGTGAACAGTGTACACTTTATGCGCTGTTGCACAATGCACTTTGTTTAGGCATGAGCCTGCTTTGAATTCCTCAAAAGGAGGACTCATTTTCCTGGGCGAAAAGTCTTATCACAGGTTGGTTGTCAATGGCCTCACGCATTTGGCAGCAATTAGCACTGTCCTTTGCTTTGCTTACCTTACCAGGCTTTTACACGACAGCGCTTCATTTTAACATGGCACAGTGTGACTCTTTTTAGTACACAGCCCTGTAACAGCTTCCCCACAGATCCCAGGCAACACGACTGAATGTGACACAATTAGCCCCTCGTTTATAACAGTACAACAGAAACAAAGGTCCCAGCAGAAATGCAGAAGAAAAGCAGGTCAACAGCTAGGATAGCATGAAGCACTTGGTTGGTCTTTACCAGTTCTTAATCGGAGAGTGGGGAGCAGAGACCAGATGAACAAGTGTTGATTCATGTCAAAATTCCCCTGTCTTTGTCCCAGAACATGCTAGATTTCTGTGTATAGTATGGCGTAAAGGAGCATTCAGTCCCGCATTGGGAACAAATGGCATTTTCTGCACATTTTTGGAACATCCTCTTTATTCTGGTGACTGGGGGAAGGGTGCAACTGTCTGGGCTCCAGGCTGTAAGGGGATCAGGACCCTATTTGGCGCTGCAACTCACCCTCTCTTGGACAGGTAGAATTGGAAGGTCTCACCGGCCACATAGAATTCAACAGCAAAGGCCAACGATCGAATTACGCCTTGAAAATTCTGCAGTACACGAAGAACGGCTTCAGGCAGGTAAGGAAATGTCAGCTCCACTCCAGCCCAGCCCACCTCTTAATTGCTGAGCTTCATCTTTGGGTCCAGGTTGGTTTCCTTCACAGCATTGCAGTGTTGATCCTGTGACATTTCCCAGACAATTTTCTTCCTTCTCTGCAGATGGTGGTCAGTTCTTTAATCTCCAGGATCGGGTTTTCTCACCTTCCTCCCTACAAATCTAGGTACACATGTGTACTGGTGGTTTTATTCTATATTCTGGGAGCAGTTCAAGGTGGAGGAGGTGCCAACAAGAGGAAAAAAGGCCTTTTGGTACTAATGCTCAGAGTTTAGAATGCTTTCCTGGGGGAGAATCCCATTTTCTCCACTTTGGGCTGTTTCTCATAGAGCAGAGAAGTCTCTGAAGAACTTGAGGGAGTTGGCTGTTGAACAGGCTGTAATTTCTTCCATTTCTCTCGACACTTCCTGTTTGTGTTGCTTTGTACGGATGTCTTAGAACAGAGATGAGCAAAATGTGGTTTGTGCTTTTTAGGTGTGGCCCTTGGGGCGTTTTTCCTTCAGCCCCCTCCAACTCACTTGGGAAAGCCCCCTCCCCACCCTGTCGTCTGCCTTCTCTCCTCCTGGAGGGATCCACGACTTTTTCATGGGTGGGAGGGCATTGAGTCTCAGCACCTTCAGTTTTTTAAACCACCCCAACAAACAAGCAACATAAAAAGCCCATAGATGTCCTGTTTTGATTAAAAAAAATAAATTATATATATTTCCTTTTTGACCCTTTGTTCAGCTACTGTCTCCTGTGCCAGGGGTGAAAAATTAAACCCCAGCCATTTACAAATTACCCATCCTTCCCTTAGAGAGCTACTGTATATGTTTTTTTCTGTGATAGGAAGCGAAAGCCAGTAAAAACTGCAGTTAAAATCTTCCTGCAATAAATGTGAGAATATGAGAGTCTTGAGATGTTTGTATGGTATCGGATGATAAGTATCTGTGCAGCCAAGAGATGGGGAACGGGTAGTGGAAACAGCATAAAGGGTGAAGGGAAAGTATGGACAGGCCAGGAATGTCTAATAGGGAAGAGGGGTGCATGACCAGATTTAAAAGAACAAAGGCTGTACCAACAGCCATAGAATTAGATCATCTCAGAGGCGACATTTGAACTCGACACTTACTGCCCGTTTTATCTTTTCGGACAAACAAATGGCTTTACTGCAAGCAAACTGGAAGGTGAATGTCGGAAAGGCCAGGGTGTACAAATCCTCAGCAGGTGATGAGATCCCATAACTGAGCAGTGATAGATTCTGGCACTCAAAGGCAAGCTGGCACTTACGAGGCAATTAGCAGTTGTAGTAAAGCACAGGGGTGCTCTCTGAACCATCGCGTAAGACTTTTCCTAGGGAAGGGACGCCCCTCCTTGCAAAGTTGAATTCTGTAGCGGCAACCCGGAATGAACAAGCGATGCTAGGGTGCTGGCTGTTTTGATTCCTTTTTTCTTTCTCTCTCGGTCTCATCCTTCCTTCTCCACCCCAAGAAAAAAATGGGTGGCCTCCTCAGAAATCTTCCCGCTGGAGATAAATTAAGCAGCAGCAGTAGCAGTAGCAGCTTGTGCATCTGTGAAATTAGCAATATATGATGGCCCGCAGCGTCGATCCATCTTCCTTTCCTTTTATTCAAGAATCTCTTTATCCTTCCAACTTAACAAGCACCGTCTTTCAGAGAGTGGCTTTGGGATGGAATTGTACAATGGGCTCCATTACGCAAGATTCCACTGCCGTTCTCATCATCCTTTAAACAGAATGTAGTCAAAGTGGCTCATTCTTAGGAAAACCCCTTCCCCTCTTGTCTTTTCCTACGCCACTGAGCTTACACTTCACTAGAAATCTTCATGTCTGTCAGTTTGCTGCACATTTAAGCTCTAGCTTTCATTTTTATAACCAAGAGCAATCTTCTAGCCTTCTGGGTTTATAGAGAGAAAGCTGCTTCTTGTTTATATTCAGACTCAAGAGCCAGGAGGGGAAAAACAGGGAGAGAAAACAAGACCTGGGTGGCCATATGGCCTCGGTGGTTCCTCTCAGATCACTGAGATATCTTTGTCAGTAAAGACAGCAGAAGTTTCTCTGGATTTAGCAAAAACGTGTGTTGGTGTTTGATGGAATGGTTACTCTCTACGCCGAAAGAAAGATGAAAAATTATGTGTCAAGAAGACCTGGAGTGTGCAATCTGTGCAGGCTATGGAAAAGAACGTGACATTTCCTTAAGTTGTGTTACTTTCTCCTGCATCTGTGAATAATCAGAACAAGCAATGAGCCAGGTAGGGCTTTAATTCTTTGACCACCAGAAATGTCACCGAGATGACTTTTCGCTTCCAAGAGTCCACTTTTCATTGCCTGGACTTTCTACCCTGCCTTCAAAACCATAAAAAATTGGCAGCTCACCTTTAAAAGATGCGAAAATAGCGGCAATCTTCAGAATGCTGAATTCTGCAGTCAGGATTGGGATTTATGGCTTTCCTACACTTGCAACGAAGCACCAAACGCCTTGAAAACCAATTGCTCATTGCAAGGGGAAGATGCTGCAGCTCCAGGACTGCGGAGTACATGCTTTGCATGTGAAAGGACCCAATGCAAAAAAAATGTCTTGCCCTCTCCTTCCCTAATGGGCAAGAAGCTCAAGGCAGCATTTCCCCATCATCGTTAGCATTGTAGGGGTAGATGGTCCAATGATCTGTTGCATGGAAGGTTTGTGACAAACATCCTTGGGAGGGGCTGTATCTGAGTGACCAGGCTGGCTTTGCATGCAAACACTTCCAGGTTCAGTCCCTGGCCCATATAGATAGGGACTGAGTAGGGTTTCCTACCTGAAACCCTGGGCAACCATTGCTGCCAGATAGATCAATGGGCCAAGTGTTTGCCTCAATATAAAATGGTCAAACCATACTGGGTTTTTTTTTCCTAAATGGCAAGATGTTCACCTCTTGACCAGTCAATTTTTTTTCCTGCGTGGAGGGAAAAGCATGCTATATATGTAAATTGTCCAGTGACACACTTCCTTTTGTATGAAAAACAGAGAAGGAAGAATGGGCCCCTAGGGAGGCTTTGGTGGGCTGGACCACTTTGGGAGCCCCTGTGCAAGGGCGGCTTGAGATACAGCACAGCGGCAATGGTGGAAGAGCGGTGGAGGCACCTGGGCATGCCCAGCAGCAGGAGAGAGCCATCTGGGGACCATGAGGTGCCTGCTGCCCCCGCTTCATGGTCCTGTGCACCCTCTGGATTAATTTTAAAAGCCCCCTGCCTGCTCTCAGCTGATGCCTCTGTCCCAACTGAGTGAGGAGAAAGAGAAGAAAATGGAGGGGGAGAAACTGGTATTGATAGGAGGGAAGAGAGCCGAGGCCCATCTAGGTTTGCTCGTTAATGAGTCCATCAGTGGTTTTGATTCCCCACACCCCACCTCATGTACCTCCCGCCACATCAGGGACAGGTGAAGTGAGGCAATCCTTTCAGAGGTCAGTGAAGCAACAAGTGACTGCAAGATGCGAGGCGAAGGGGGTGCCACTCCGTCTGCCTTGCACTCACCCACAAATGGATTTGCTGCCTCGTTTCTGGCAGAGAACTCTGTTCTCGTGATAATGCTGCAGGGAGATTCGGTTGCCTCCCCAGGCAGCTTCAGGGCATGGACGGAGAGAAGGCACCTCTTTCTGCTTCACCCCAGCTGCCCGCCCTCCTGGTGCAGTTCATCCCAGAGGGATTGCAGGCCTTGACAGGAAGAAGGGCCCTCCTTGGCCCCTCTAGGTGCCTGCCCCGAGCTTCATAGCAAGATCCATCTGAAGCGGTGGCAACTCCCGAGGTATCTCATTGCCAGGCAACTCCAGACACAGAATGGGTCGCCCCTCTGCCCCACAATCAACCTGATGCCTTGATTAACTGTTACTGGACATCCCTGGGCCAAAGCATACCAACACTCAGGGAGGCTTCTGATAAAGGGGCCACATGGCTGGTAGCCATGCCTTTCAGCAACCGCCTTCCATCTGCCTTCCTGTCTGTCTTCTTCCCTGGCGGCCTGTCAGTCAGCGAGACGCAGCCTCTCATTTTGTGTTCAAACCGTTGCCTCCATGCCTTCAGAGCCTTTCAAATTATTAATAACGACGTTCTATTGCTTTACATATTCAAACTGCTGAATAAACACGAGCTCTGAGCTGTGCAGTTAGGTGTTAGTGTGACTTAAATAATGCAGTTGAGCTCATAAGTAATAGAGAAGGGAGAATACAGGGAAGGAGGAAGAGAAGAAACAGGCTTTAGGTCAAGATGTAAAATAGCATGAAGGTGTTACAGGGACAGGGAGCAGCAAGGATGCAGTGCTTTCTTCCTGTGCATTGATTGTTCTCCCCCATGCACCCCAAATGTTAAGCTAATATGAGTAAGCTCTTTTGCTTGTGCTTCACCATCTAAACCATGCCAAGAAGTGAATACAAGACCCAATGTTAGAGGTGGCATCCTAACTATGGAACTTGCTCCCTTGGGATGCTTGCTCGGTGCTTTCTTGACTGACTGTCAGGCAGCGAGTGAAAATGTCTTTTTTGTTTTTTTGTTTTTGAATGGGTCGTATCAGTTCTGATTGATTCAGTTTCTTTGTAAGCAGAAGCCTTTATCTTTTCTTCTTTGAATTTGCAATTTATTTTGTATTTTGTTATTTTTTATTGCAAACTGCAATGAGAATAATGGAAACAACACCCATTCTCAGCCCACCTTGACCTTGGGTTGCATAAGGAAGCTGTCCATGGTACTGAAAGCAGTACTGAAAGCTCTGTTTCAGGGCTTTGATAATGTCTCTCTGTGTGCCTGTGCAGGATGGCATGGGCCAAATTTCTGCTTATTTGCTCTGTTCAGTGGTGTCATATGAGGTTACCTATGAAAGAAGTCTTCATGGGATAGTTCCCGCAGCCCGGTTGAGTACTTCTCACCTTCACATGGAAGACTGGGTTTCATGCACACATTAAAAACAGAAGTTAATCTCATCCTTCATCCTGT